CCCAGAAAGATGAACATGGTATGTACTCACTCATGAGTGGATACTAGCTGTAAAGCAAAGGATATTGAGCCTATAGTTCATGATCCTAGAGAAGATAAGTAACATGGTGGACCCTAAGAAAAACATATAGATCCACCTAGAAAGGAGAAATAGACAAGATCGCCTGACAAAATTGGGAACATGGGAGTGGGGGAAGTAGAGAGGGTAGAAGGGAAAGACAAGGGGAGGGGGAAGAAAACTTAGGGGAATGGGATGGTCAAGATGGAGGAAGGACAGAGATGAGAGCAAGGAAGGAGATATTTTGATTGAGGGGGCCATTATGGGACTAACAAGAAACCTGCCTCTAGAGAAATTCCCAGGAATCTACAAAAATGACACTAGTTAAGACCCTAAGCAATAGAGGAGAGGGTGCCCGAACTTGCCTTGCACTGTAGTCAGACTGATGAATATCTTAAATATCACCATAGAACCTTCATCCAGCAACTAGTGGAAACAGAGGCAGAGAACCAAATTGGAGCACTGGACTGAACTCTCAAAATCAAGTTGAAGAGTGGGAGGAGTAAGAATATGAGCAAAGAGGTCAAGACCGTAATAGGTACACCCACTAAAAATGTTTACTTGAGCTACTGGGAGCTCACCAACTCCAGCCGAACAGGGAAGGAACCAGCATAGGTCCAAACTAGTCCCTCTAAATGTGGGTGACAGTTGTATGGCAGAAGCAGACTGCAGAGTCACTGGCAGTTGCACCACCGTTGATCCCCACTGCTTGTACGGGCTTTTTTGGAACCCATTCTCTTTGGATGGACACGTTGCTCAGCCTAGATACAGTAGGGAGGGCCTTGGACCTTCCTCAAACCAATGTGCCTTACCCTCTGAGGAATGGATGGGGGTGTGGTGAGGGAGGGAAGTGAAAGGAATGGGAGGAAAGGAGAGAATGGAAACTGGGATTGCTATGTAAAATGACAAAAAGATAATTTTCTTTAATTAAGGGAGCCATTTTAGGGTTGGCAAGAGACGACTCTAGAGGGGTTCCCAGGTGTCCATGGAGATGTCCGCAGCTTGTTCCTTGGGCAGCTGACGAGAGGGAGCCTGAAATGGCCCGATCCTATAGCCATACTGATGAATATCTTGCATATCACCACAGAACCTTCATCTGGCGATAGATGGAGATAGAGACAGAGACCCACACTGGAGCACTGGACTGAGCTCCCAAGGTCCAAATGAGGAGCAGAAGGAGGGAGAACATGAGCAAGGAAGTCAGGCCCGCGAGGGGTGCACCCACCCCTCGCCCTGAGACAGTGGGGCTGATCTATTGGGAGCTCACCAAGGCCAGCTGGACTGGGACTGAAAAACATGGGATCAAACCGGACTCTCTGAACGTGCCAGTCAATGAGGACTGACTGAGAAGCCAAAGACAATGGCACTG